AATTTAAAAGTTAATAAGTTTTCAAAAGAAAAAAATTATAATAATAAAAACAACAATGAAGAAAAATAATAATCCTCCCCTTTCTTCTAGCTCGCAGATTGCTAAACATGAAACCAAAGCACGTAAATTAATTTTTTGATGGTTCTTTATTTTATTTATGTTTAAGTTGAAAGATTAGATAGTACTTGACATTATAAAGAAGAAAAAGTAAATTTAAATCTTATATTTCTATAATGCCAGTTTCGCATAGTATTGCGTACGTAACATGCATTATATATGGCAAGTCAATTTTTCAAAAGTTCATCATTGCAATTTAGATCACTGATGAAAAAGTTCCCCACGATTGATAAGGAGCCGAATAGTGGATTTTACAATAATGTTAAGGATTGAATATTCTATTCCACCATTTTGGGATAGAATTAGAGACTTGATGCTTTGCNAAAAAAAAAGTTAATTCGAACGTATTTAAGTTCGAATTTGAACTACAAATTCACTTCAATCACATATTTCTTGATATTCAAAACTTTTCAATGACATAATTCATCAACTTTTATCATAATCCATATAAATATGACTAATCGCGTAATAAGAATAGAGTGCTTAGAAAATGATTTATTTATTTTAAAATTACAAATGGATGAGCAACATGTATAAAAACTCTTCTGCAAATAGAAACAATAGGAAATTTTCGAACTAGAGAGAAAAAGAGGAATTCGCAATAAACCGGTGAGGTTAGTATGCCCACCTTGATTTTAAGTAATTAAGAATATATAGAATTGGAATTGACATGACAATTTAAACTATATCCCAATAATCCATCCTTATTGATGTTACTATTCGAGTCGATTTTCATAATTATGATTCGATGATAAACCGATATTCAAAACAAGGAAAAGGAGAAGTTACGAGACCCTAACCAATGGTTTTAATTTTCAGTGTATATTTCACAAAAGGTTGAACCATTTCGAACATGCCAAGCCCTTTTTGATGGCTACTATTTTGAGAAAATGAAATTTTGAATAGTGATTTTTTAGAGAATGTGTAGTTAAAAAATATGGAACAACTTTGAATTTTTGTGTAAAATATTTTATTGTGGAAATATGTGGTGAAAAATAAGTATAAAAATTAAAGAGTTTTGAAATAATGATTGTCAACTAGGGGCTTATTTCTTTTTAATTTTGAATGGAGTAATGTAATTTAATTTCATTGGAGTTGCAACCCCAATTTAGATAGTATTGATATGACATGAAATGATAAATGAAATTAAATAATTCATTTAATTTTACCTTTTAATTTAACCTATCATCTAATATAACATAAACGGGGATTGCAATCCCACTTTGGTTACATAGCATTATTCTTTTGAATGCATCATATTACCACTAAATAGCAAAGATTTTGAGTAAAAATCCTGGTTAGTCCTTAAACTTCACATCTTGATCGAAAAAGGTCTTTAAACTTAACAAAATGTGCACTCCCTCCACAAGCCTACACTATTCAAACATAAATGATGAGTAGGTCGATGGAATTGCACGTGGCGGTAAATTTTGTTCAACTGAATATCATAGCAAGGTTAGTCTTGTACATGCTCTCACTCGTGTAACTACCATTATTTTGACATTTAAAATAATAGTAATTGGAGTTAGGAATTGGGATTTGACAATAGCAACAAGGTTTATCAAGCATACAAGGGGAATTAAATTAAAAAGTGATAAGTACTGGATTTTCACTCATTCATATTGAACTAGATAAATAATTTTGAGTTGAGTGAATTTCTATTTAATTTAGTGTAAAAATGGTTATTGTGGGTAAAATCATGACTTGAACGCTTTTGGAGCAAAAAAATAAAAATAAAAATGAGAAGAAGAATTTTAGAGCTAATGTACAGTTAATTCAGAGAATTTAAAATTAACTAGATTGCAAGGACTTGATAAGAAGTAATTAAAGAGCAATTGAAAGAAAAATTGCAAGTTTTGAGAGTGAAATTCAACTTTTGGAAAGCTTGGGTATTAATTTCACAGTTTTGAAACTTGAGACGGACCAAACTTGGATGATTTCAAAGGTTCATGGACCAATATGAATGCTTTTGGATGTGGCAGAATCAAATATTCCTTTTAAGGGTTTTTTTTATTTTTTT